TGCATTTAGGGGTTCTCGCAATATTTTTTGTGTGTGTGAAAGGTTTGCGACTACTGTAGTTTCCTTATAAACCTTTCATTATACTTTACCTCGACATACGATCCCCACTTGTTAGTGACTAATTTATCTTCTCTTTCTCTATTGCGTCCATGCAAGACATCGCCAGAGCTCCGGGGACCTGTGGGGAGGCAGCAGGCGATGCGGTGGATGACAGCCAGGCAAGCAGCAGCTGCAGCAGGCGATGATGTGGCATGAGTTGAAAAATTATTGAGAGAGCAGCAACTCTCCCTCTATTGAGGAAAGATGGGGTATTTTCTTTCGAGAGATCTAAATAGTTTTTTTTACGAATAGAGGGGGATTTTTTTACCTAAACTCTCCCTATACGTGCATCCTTTTGGAAATAAAGAGACTGGGAGATGCTATTAACGAGGTAAGGGAAAAAAAGTGGCGACAAGAGGGTGGGAGTTGATCCGAGCAGCTGGATTTAGGGCCTGTTCGGAGACTCTCCCGCTCCCCAAGTCCGCTCCAGGACTTGGTGGAGCTGTAGCTAAAAATGACAGAGCAGGGAAAAGGAAGCTCCACATATTCTCAGATTTCATAGAGTCGGAGGACTGCCGAACAACTCCTTAATTTAAGGGAAAACTTTGTTTTTGCCACTCGAGCTTTTGCCAATTTTGCTTATGCCACTGTAGAATTTGACATCTCACTTTTGCCACTCTTTGCTTTTGACAATGCATCACAAATACCATTCCGTGGCAAAACCGACAATTTTTCATTTCACTTTCGCCACTCTTAGCTTTTGACAATGTATCACAATTGCCACTCTGAAAATTTTGCTTTTGCCACTGAATGGCAAAAGTGATATATTGTCAAAAGCTAAGAGTGGCAAAAATGAAATATCAAATTCTAGAGTGACATAAACAAAATTGGCAAAAGATAGAGTGGCAAAAACAAAGTTTTCCCTTAATTTAACACTTGGGAGCTGGCCGGGGGAGCGTGCGCCCCTACCATCATTTTTATCCACCGACCGGGGTCGCTGTAGCCAGGCAGACGGTCACACAAGTGGTGCGCCCCCACCGCAGGCTTCGGGCTGAAATCATATCATAGTCACCCAACCTGGCCACTCTTTTACCCCCCGAAGCATGGGGTGACAGGACAGCGCCACCAGGCCCGGCGAGGCAGGCGCACGCGCGTCGCCAGCGGCCCAAAAGCGCCACCAGGCCCGGCGAGGCAGGCGCATGCGCGTCGCCAGCGGCCCAAAAAATGCTTGACGAGCGTAAAAATTTGTATGCCGGGGTCTACAATACGGGGGAGGCGCCCTGGAACCAAGTGGCACTCACTACAGCATGGGGTGACAGGCCAGCGCCACCAGGCCCGGCGAGGCAGGCGCACGCGCGTCGCCAGCGGCCCAAAAGCGCCACCAGGCCCGGCGAGGCAGGCGCATGCGCGTCGCCAGCGGCCCAAAAAATGCTTGACGAGCGTAAAAATTTGTATGCCGGGGTCTACAATACGGGGGAGGCGCCCTGGAATCAAGTGGCACTCACTACAGCACGCAGTTGGGCCGGCCCACAAGAAGCGAAGAAAGTATAGCTTTGTTCAGGATTCGATCTCGCGCCGTTGGACTCACGTACATCTTCGCTAACCACCAGAGCCACTAAATTGCCCTGACTGAAATCAGCGGCAAAAATATAAGAACGACTATGGACGCACTATGTATACCTTATCACTTAGATTTTGGGATCATTTGAGAAAAAAAACATGAATTTCAAAAAGTTCATCGATTTGGAAAAAGGTTCATCATTTCTGAAGAAAAAAGTTCATCGATTTTCAAAAAGAATTCACAAAATACTGAAAAAAGTTCACCGACTTTGTAAAAAGTTCATCGATTTTCAAAAAGAGTTCACAAAATACTGAAAAAAGTTCACCGACTTTGGAAAAAGTTCATCGATTTTCAAAAAGAGTTCACAAAATACCGAAAAAATTTCACCGACTTTGGAAAAGTTCATCGATTTCGACAAAAGTTCATCGGTTTTGAAAAGAAGTTCATTTATTTTGAAAAAAAGGTCGTTCAAAATTGAAAAAGGTTCATAGATTTTAAAAAAGTTCATCAATTTCAAAAAACAGTTCATTAATTTTTGAAAGAGTTCATCGATTTTGTAAAAAAGTTCGTTCATTCAATTTTGAAAAAAATTAATTCAATTTAGCAAAAGAAAAAACGAAAAAAGAAAAAAAGAACAAAACTATTCCAATAAAAAAGGAACAAGAAAATAACTTTTTTAAGAGAAAAGAGAAGATAGGAAGAAGAACTATGGAAACAAAACCATATGTAGTAGGTGTTCGCGTGGTTAGCGCATCGTAATCACCAGCAGGAGGTCGGTTGTTCGAACCTCAAACATCGCACAACATTTTTGCGTTCAAAAACAGAAAAAAAACGCAGAGGAAAGGGTATGCGCCTGTTTGCAAGAAAGGAAGGAACGGGCCCCTACAGCACTAGTTGGGCCACGCCTGGGGCTTTTTTTCCCCACCTTTTTAGATGGTTTTTTTCCTAGTTTTTTTTTACTTCTCGGTTTTTTTAGCTTTTGGACCCAAACAAAATTACACAAAAAAAATGTTTTCTTTTTTTCTTCCTTTTCACGAGAGGCACGGTTTTGATTCCGCGAGAGGCACGGTCGTGCCTCCTGGAAACAAAAAAAAAACATGTTTTTTTCTTCCGCGAGAGGCACGGCCATGTCTCTCGGAAACGAAAAATAAACGCGTTCTCTTTATTTTCCGTGAGATGCATAATTTTGCTTCCGCTTGCTTTCGCGAGAGGCATGGTCGTGCCTCTCGGAAATGAAAAAAAAACATGTTTTCTCTTTTTTTTTCCTTCCATGACAAGGACGGTTTTGCTTCCGCGAGAGGCACGGCTGTGCCACTCGAAAACGAAAAAAGTGTGTTTTTTGTTTTTTTTTTCGCAAGAGCACGGCTGTGCCTCTCGAAAATGGCTTTCTGAAAGGAGAAAAAACGTGCTCGCAGTCCGGTTTTTTCGTGAAAAAAATTCATCAAAACCTCTCAACATGGGATCTAGTTTTGAAGATCTCAATGCAAGAAATCCAACAATGAAAACTGTTCAAGATTTGGACGCACGGTTTAAAAGACAAACCATTTTTAATAAACGAATCTACGAAACAAAGGAAAAACTTCACAGGTTGTGACTAGTGACCCACATGCAGCGCGCCACCTGTCGCAACCTGGGGAGATGGAAGTGATCTTGAAAAGAGTACTCCTCAATTAGTGGTTTCGTCTGATGTGCAATCGGCTTTCCTCTCGAGCATGCAAAATTCCATATTCTTTACTTTTATTTTTGAAGCTTCCGTATTCTTTACTATATAGCCTTCGTTTGAGATTTGGGAACATGTCATGTCCCGTTGAAAACACAAACTTAAGGCCTTCCACTATGTTGCCGGTGCCATATTGGTCAAACTTCCCCAATGCCTAAAGAAAACACGAACCTAATAACAACATCATCCACGATTGAAGAAATATATTTTTATGGCACGTGCTCCACAGTGTAGGGCACCACTCTGTATAAAGGAATTGATAAACAAGTCCACTGATCCAGTTGACAGTGCCCTTCGATCTAACTTTGGAGAATTTGGCATCGAAGCATCTGCTTGCTCCGAGGCCCAGAAATTTTTTATGGCTCCGGCTGGGCTACGTAGGGCATCGGTGCCCAAAGGCTAGAAAGTGAATTTGGCATTGATTTTGGCCTACATAGTCGAGGGCCTTATATTCTTGTAGAATTTTCATCAGATTACCTGTTGCAAAACTCCAGGATACACGCACTATCTTGCCAAACGATGCACGACCTGTGTACTATACTGATCAACCAGCCAAACACTAATGAGATACAGAAATCAGAGGACGTATACCATGGTTAAATAGATTCGCCATATATATACCGACAGTCTTTCTAATCTCAAACAATGAGTTGGCTATCCCTTTTGGATCTTGATGATTCGTTCCTTATAAAACAGGAGTTCCCAGATCTAACTTGGCCCCTGATTGGCCAACTGAAATCGAAGACTCCCACACCAAGTCCCCAAGAATATATGTATCCAACACATTGCCTTCAGAAACAGCACAGCACACAGGCGCATATGATACACATCCAAATTGTCAACCACGATGGGGAGCGTGGCAGTCCTTCCCAGTGGTTGGGCGAGCAGAGCAGACGGCAGAAAAAGAGTGCAAAATCCACATGAAAAGATTGGGAGGCAGTGAGAACGAGTGATGACAGAAGCTACAGCTGAACTCGCCAAATGTTCCTCTCCAATCCAACCAACATCAAACCTTTCTCCTCAAGTAAAAGGAAGTCGTCCAAGCAAGTGAAGTTCAACTCGCAAGAATGCCCATCGGTCGTCCTCGTCTCATCTCTTTACACTTGCGGCGACGAGACGAAATCGCAGCAGTTCCATCGGACTAATTTGTACGATTCGCATACCATGTACTCCCAAGAACTACAATGTTATTATTAGGTTATTACAAGAGGGATAGAGAAAATACAGATTGTACAAAGTACGCAATTCCTGCCCGATTTCCGAGCCCGCCTTACAGAACAGCACAAGAAAGTTTATGTACCTCTTCTCTACATATACTCTCCTCGGCTGGAACAGGCTTGCCTGATCCATTAACCTCGCAATCCTACCGTAACATATTGTGCTGACTGAACCCAACTATTTTCATCTTACAGCTTCCCAGCAAATACCTGCCTGTAGTAAAACTTTTGTCTATCCCCATCTGAAGATCTGGCCCCCCGTGCAGGTGACCATCAAAATTTGTATCCGAGATCATCTACAGTGGCTCACTGGTCAACTGAATTAACCTGTGATTGTAAGGATTACATGGGTAAGACGGAGATAGAGAGACAATCTGCCCACTGTAACCAGCTCCCCTTTTTCTATGTTTATAGAGCATGGGCGGCATGCTAACAGTGCTTACCAGTTTTGACAAAAATGAATTCCAATTAGGCTTTCTCACGTTACTGCACAATGCGCTTCCTCTTTGACCTCTTGCCCTTCTTTCCAGAGTAAGTAGGGAGCTTCTTGTCGTTGCCGGTAGCGAATGTTTCCTCTACAGGTCCTCCCTGTTGTCAGGTTTACATCAGTAACTGAAATTCCGTATATTTGCATGAACTGTCTACGAGGAAATCCCAGATGGCTAGCACCGCTCGCCTAGACACAGTGATCTAGCAATACGGATGAATGGAAGAAAGAAAAAAAGAGTACCTCCTCTGTAGTATCATCATCTGACTCTTCATCCTCTGATGTAGTTGAACCATTTGAATCTCCTGCACCAAGTGCTTTCACAGCTTTTCTCCTGTTCTCCTCTTCTTTTAGCTGCTTAAACCTGCTCAGAATATCGTTGATTCTTTTATTTTACAGCCCGAACATAGTACAATTAAATCAAATGTCATCTGAAGTTCAAAAGCACCTTTCTCCACCCTGGCCTGATTGAGCACCTGAACGTTTTGCTCGTCCAGCAGTTATAATTCCGCTTGCTCCCTCATTCATAGCAGGCTTTGCTCCTCCCAGTTTCCGCAACCATATCTGCTGGGCTGTACTGAGGACATTGTTTGTAAACCTACATGGAGTGTCAACACACAGGTTACAAATTTTGATCAACTGCAAAAACTGAGTGAGCATCAAAAACCATGCCTGCACACAATCATAGAATAAATAGAAGATGCACATACCAATAAATGGACAATCCTGATGGCACCGACAAAGAGAAGTAACCGATCATAAATGGAAGAAATTTCAAAATAAGTTGTGTATTCTTCTGCGATGGATCAGTACTCTGCAGCAATCAAAAGTACCAAGGTTAAACACTGGAAGCTTGTATAACGGCGCTATGGTGGATTAAAGAGGCAATCACCTGGGGTGGTTTCATGATCTCCATGGAGACAAACTGAGAAGCAACGAGTAGCACGGGCAACACAAGATAACATATCGTATCATGCCAGCCTATTGGCGGATGACCATCCTACACAATTCATTCAAAATGTTAGTATCACTTTAGCATATCTCAATCATGCAAGCATATAAAGTAGTGTATTGTCACTTTTCTACAAGAATAAGCTGAGAAAATAATATGTTACTACATCATTTAAACAAGATTGATATGCCACATGCCCAACGTTCTCAGTCATGCTGCTAAAGTACAGGTTTAAAATTAGACATAGGAAATCCTGTTGTTTCTCGCTACAATACCACCAAAGCTAATGTTGTTGGTTGAGTACAATTCAATGTGCTGCCTAAGTGGCTATGCGTAGCAACAAGCCACTGGTGTAACTTGACTACAATGTTGCAGTAACATCATATTGCTAACATCTAAGTGATGAGCATAGTCATAGAGGAAGGACATACGCAAAATCAATCCCAGAACCAACAGTAGACAGTTTCACATACATCGATAAATAAGCAATTTTATTACCACAAAAGGAAAGAGCCATGAAATGCCAGCACCACTTTGACGAGCAGCAATTGTTGTAGGGCCTCCCAAAGATGGAATCCAGAAAAATCCTTCTGTCAACAAACCCTTCATGCCAGAGAATCCACTTAGTCCAAAATACTCTTAACGAATCAAACTTCAAGAAGTAGGATCTGGCATACCTCATTTGCTACATTTGAAAGGGCTTGGTAAAGTCCAATCCAGACTGGAATTGTTGCCAAAGTTGGCAAACATCCTGGAAGAGAAAACATTGAGATCAAGACGCTGCATTACAAAAGAAAGTACAGTAAAAAGCTAACTGGTTTTGCAATTCGTGATAGCAGTAATGGCAATCAAGCAGAAAAAATAATAGAAAGTGTGATCAGCTAATATGGTTTATTGTCTTTCAAAAGTCAGTAATAACAAAAGGTGTCTTTCAGAAGGCAATAATACTAAAAATATGAGATGTGCCAGAGGAGTCATTTCACAATGGGAAGTAACTTGGTTTGGGAAGGAAAGGAAAAGAAATGCAAAAACCTGCTAGAGGATTGACTCCAGCTTGCTTGTACAAACGAGCAGTCTCAAGCTGTATTCTTTCCTAATAAGAGTTATGTAGAAGCAACAGATCAGATATTAACAAAAAAAATTGTGCCTGAAAGGATAAAATCAAAGCAATCTCATTAAGGAAAGCATATGTACAGTATATCACAGCATTATGCAGACATATGCCTGGAACCAAAGCATAAATGTATATCCATGATTGAAGTTCTAGCCAAACAAGACAAACCTGATTGCCTGCGTATCTCGCCTGAATTGCCTTGAGCTGTGGCTGCAAATTCTGCATCGCCATGGTTGATTCGACCTAAGAACAGATAAGCAGCACCGTTGAATTCAGTTCATAGGTAGATAATTAAGGAATGCCCATCTGGTTTAACTCAAATCAGGTTAGAACATCCACCTGCTGCTTCGTTAACGGCAATGTTGCAGCCTTCACGACAATGGTGAGCAGAATGATGGCAAATCCATAAGCGTAGGGCACATGAACTGCTGAGAGACCATCCTTCAGAATCTGTATGGCAAATTTCAGATAGCATCAGAAATCCAGCCTCCCTAAGTTAAACGAATGCTACGCTCCTAACCACTGCTAAGATCCCAGAATTCCTAAGTTCTAGTGAGTTTCAGAGTGCTTGCACCACAAGTGTCCGTCAGACACAGCAGGAACTTGCATAATCTAATGGCAGTTCTTCTGCCCACACAAAGTCGCTGGCTACGGCTCCAGCGCGTACACGCTTACCTTGAGCACGACCTCCATGGCGTCGGAGATGAACCCGAACCATCCCCCGCTCTTCTGCACGGCCGTGCCGGCGTCCTCTCCTCCTCCGGCCGCCCCGGCCGCCGAGTCGGCGGCGACGACCGCGGCGTCGGCGAGCGTGTAGAGCGCGGCCTCGGCGCGCTCGAGCGCGGCGTGGAGGCCCCCCACGGAGTCGAGCCCGTGGAGGCTCGCCCTGACCCGGCACCCCGCGGCGCGGCGGCGCAGCGAGGGGAGCGGCGGCAGCCTCGCGGCGCCGGCGCCCGCGACGGCGCGCGGGAGCGAGGGGAGCAGCGAGGAGGAGAGCAGCGCCTTGGCCATCGCGGGCGGGTGGGGCTGGGCTGGGCTGGGGCCGCGGCGGGGCTAGGGTTTCATGCACGGCGCGGCGGGGAGGGGGCAGCGAGTGGTGGTGGTGGTGGAGCAGAGGAGAGGAGTGGAAGAGGAGAGGAGGCGGGTCGTTGGAGAGAGAGGTGGACGATGATGCTTTATCCTCTCCCTGCTTGTGGACTCGGCGCACCAATGTTTCCAGTGATTTTTGGACCGGTTTGAGGGAAATTCGTTGCAAATTGTCTAATTTTCGAATGCACCGGCCAAAACGATAATCGTGGTTTTTGAGTATTTGAAACGTTTGAACTAAAACCACGACAAGTAGTATATTTTTAAAACAAGGTAAGTAGAACTTTAAAGGAGACTAAAGCCCTGTTTGTTTCGGATTCTGGGACCAGATTCAGCTTTGCCAATGAAGCCGAATTTAGAATCTGTAACAAACAACTAATTGTAATCAGCTTTGCCAGTGAAGCTGAGTCTGGATTTGGGCCATTTTTAGTGCAATTTCCTGAAGCACCTCCAAGTGTACTTCGGTGGCGAAGCTGATTCCCATAACCAGTTTCCGCACTGAAGTGTATCCACAGGTGATTAAAATCCAGGCGAAGCTGAAACAAACAGGGCCTAAGGCTGAGTATTTGGGTTCATACTGCATACCCGGAAACACGGGTATCATACTGCACGTCACCGGGTTTCCCAACCTCCACCGGCTGCTCCGACAGTAGCAAAGGGAGGGGAACTGTGGGACTTTGTGTTTCGCGGGTGTTTATGTAATCTACCAATGTCTTCATCAAGTCTTTGGCGGTCCATGACTTCGGCTTCGAAGGTGGCAATGGCAACACCAAATAAGTTTCGTCTAGATCTATCATCGAAGCCATCGTTTTCTCACCTATTGGTGTTGGATCTAGGAGGCAGTGTATCTCAGGTCATTCGGAACGGTCTCCTTCAAGCTCTTTGCAGCGATGGTGTTGCGGGCAGCCAATGACTTCAACGGCGAAAGGCCGACCCTTGAGAATGGGGGGTGATATTCCCTTGCCCGTTTTTTTACAGTAGAGATGAGGTTGTGTCCTAGTTTTATTTTTTTGGGTGTCTCCCTGACACGACATATTGTTCTCCGGTGATTCATGCTTCCTCTTTTTGGCAACGACACTTTTCCCGCGGTCTTTGCGAAGCTGGCGGGAGGTTTGTTTAGGAGATTGGCTTCTGAGATTTTTGATCTACACAAGACTTCTACGATGCCGGCTTTTTCTCCAGGGCGTTGGTCCAACTGGACCTTAACACGACAACGTCCCGACCGCATGATACAACGCCAGGTTTGATGAAGCGACAACGACTACGCACATCTGGCTCTTATCATTAGAAAATTTTAATATAAAAGTAGAGCCTTATGTTTTTTGAAATGTGATGTACTCCACTTTTTATTTTAACTTGTGATATACTCGACGTATATGGCCTTTTGTATTTACTCATATAAATGTTTAATATATCTCATTTTGCTCTTCTTTGGCTCGGGTCTAACTTAAATGGCATTTTGTATAATTTTTTTCCTTAAGGCTGAGAGTGTGTTGAAAGTAATCTCATTACATTCGCAAAAGGGAAGTAATCTCATTAACGAACTATGTTAAGTAATTAAAACTCTTATCGTAAGACCTAATCCGGAGCTTTGTATGTGAAAATATATAGAGAGGAAGTAGCTCCCATAAATGTTCTTCTTATTTTGCAAATAATCAAACATCAAATTTGGCTTGATACGCCCGCTTCAGATTTTTCCCCCTCTTTCTTTTACGAATTTCAGTATGCATTATTCCCTCCGATCTATATTAGTTGTCGCTAATTTAGTACAACTTTGTACTAAAAGTCGGCGATAATTAATATGAATTGGAGGGGGCAGTATTTACAGAAGAGCACGTGGAATTTATTCGTCCTACGCGTCGGGGAATATTATGAACACACACCGTTTCATCTACGAGGAGGAAGAAGGGTTGGCAGTGGCACACATAGCTAGGGTGCATTTCAACCGTGTAATTGAGCACCTCACCACCAGTGGGGAGGGTCACACGTAACACCACTTGTTTTCGGCCTGCCACTCGCTGGCTCAATTCAGGTCAGCCGCTGGGGAAAAAGCAATTCTGATTTGATGAGCACCTCTGCGTGTGCACTCGCAGCGAAATATGCAAAGCATTTCTCTCGTGCGTAAGTGCCCATCTGAAAGCATAAAAAGGCACTACTTTCCAGCTGACAGAAGCCCCACGGATCCACTTCGTGGCCTCACCTCGTTCGTCCGTCGTACGAGATGATAAGAGAACCTAGAAGCGCAGGCACCAAGTTTTCTTCTTTCTGTCTGCGTTTGTAAAAAGGGGGTTGGGCGCCAAGGACGGACAGGCGGCTTGTTGACACCGTCACCAGTTGCTTCGCCGCTGCTGCTGCTGGTGCTTGGCCACAAAGAGGACACAAAGGAGACATAGACAGTCATTCTACAACACCACCGGCCGCGTGCAGCCGGTGAAATGGTGAAGCAGCATGGCTCACTGCCAGCCACATGCAATGCAAGTCAGGAAAAAACCGCAAACCTAAGCGCGAAAACTGAGATCTGAATGGCCAAGGCGCCAGAACAGACTCGGGCAGACAGGATCTTAGGTCCCCATTTATGCCGAGAGCGATCCGGGTCGTATATACTCCCTCCGTTCACTTTTGTAAGTCATTTCAGACAGCTCAAAATGGGCTGTTTTGTACATTGTCTGAAATATCTTGAAGGTCTTATAAAAGTGAACAGAGGGAGTAGCACAAATGCACAATACATACAGGTATGCTGAGATGCCTAGGGCAGTGACTACAACAGCGAGATATCGACAGACTCTGCTCATGAGAAGCAGCTGTCCAAATTATTATGAACCCAATCCTCGGAATATATGCACATGCAGAATATATACTGCTATTATCATGTTTCAAAGAAAGGAATAGTCAAGGGGGATGTGTATCCTTGTACTGCAAATGTGGGGCTACACAGCATCAACCCAGAGATCACCCACAGGTCAGGATAAACTGAGAAATGCATCCCGAGTTGAGCCACAAAACAGCGAGATTTTGTTACCGCTGTGGAAACTGAGCTCTGATCATCACTAATAATTCAGCCACATGTCAGTCAAGAAAGATCCTCTATCAAGTCTCAGCAAATATACCTTTGTACTGTAAACATGTAAGAATATCTTCTTATTTGCTCACACAGCATCACCCACAAGTACGGATGAAACTGAGAATTTCGTGCTGGAGCGAGCCAGGAGCAGCGAGATTCAGTATTACCGCTGCCGAAAACCGAGCCCTGGTCATCAGCAGGAATAACCAAGGTGCGGGCACAGATTCAGGCAACAGAATCTTAAGTTCCCATTTATGCCGAGAGCGATCCAGGCCATACCTATGTAGTACGACACATACAAGTATGCTAAGATGCCTAGGACAATGATTACAACAGCGATATCGACAGACTCTGCTCATGAGTAGTAGCTGTCCACATTATTATGAACCCAATTCTCGGAATATACAGGGACAGAATATATACTACTATTAGCTTTGCCATGTTTCACAGAAAGGAATAGTCAAGGGGATCACCACCAATGTAGTGATGTAGCACCTGTATAGAAAGAAAGTACAGAGGGGAATTAACAGAGGAGGAAGAGGTAATTTTCCGCCTAAGGGAGACAGACAGACAGATAAGTGCGACTAATGTTCAGTGCCGAAAGAAAATTTCCGATTTTTTGATCCATGGCATGATGATAGCTTTGCTGCTATGCTCCGGCGCCTCATGGCATGACACCGGATGACCTAGTAAGAGGCTAAAATGTTTTTTTTTTCCTGTTCTATTATGATAAAACGAGATCATTGTCGCCAAGATGCGGGGGCCTCATGCAAACCTGAACTTCATGCTCCTCTGGCCCGACCCGGTGCTTCGGTACCATGATCTCCAGTCCAGTGCCGGTCTCGTCGTAATACGCTTCGATCTTGGCGTTCTCTGGGATCCTTGTGGCCAGAGGTATCTCCCTCACAAACTCGCCGGGAGAGCAGTGCTCAGGGGAAGGGTCGGTCAGCTTGAAGGTCCTGTCGTGCCTCTTGATGAAGGGCATGCGGGCGGTGCTCACACATGTTATCTTCACGACACCATGCGTCAGCGTGTTCCTCCAGGTGACCTTCACGCTGTGTGGATCGGATAAGAGCATGCTCACCATTATCAGGTAGCCTTCATCATCCTCGTATATCGTCTTGGCAGCAGTAACAGGCCCACTTGCGTGCTTTGCCACGCCAGTGAAGTCATGCATCCATGACGGCTCACCGGTGTGTACTTCAACCTCTTGCTCCCTCTCTGAACAGGAATTATTGGCCATTGCACAATCCTCTTCTACGCCATGACCAAAGAAGTCCTTGCGGCGTTTGTGGCACTTTGGTGAAAGGTCCATCCCATCGTCTGATGACGGTGGTGTAGATAGATTCAGACCTGAACCATTCAGTGCCTTCTTGTGATTATTATTATGAGAGGTATGTGGGACGGTCTTTGACGCTGCTGGCTGTGGCCTATCAAGTTCAAAATCAGTGCTTGGAAGATTTCTCCATGACTCAAAGTCACTCGCTTCAGATGGTACTGAGAAATTAAGCTCCCTTCCTGTAAGCTCAGCCCACCTCTTCATGTCAGCCTCAGGAACTGCCGACAAGTTTGGTGAGTTCACAATCTCAATCCCATGAAGGCACTGTGGGTTGGACAGACCACGGTAGTGCTTTCGCTGCATGCGGTGTGACCTCGAAAAGCCCTTGTCCGCACTGAACAGAAAAGATGGCTCCCCGTGCTTGGAATGCCCATTCATGAAACTCCGGAGCTGCATCTTCCCAAGGGCATTGTCAGGCCGGTCCTTAAAAACCCACATGTACAGGTTCTCCATGTCATGCTGCACCAGGAAGACATCAAGGCGGAGATCGGACTTGTCAAAGCCGGTGATGCTCCCAGACGCGTCCCGCGTCACCTTCTCCTTTGCCTTCTCCACGAGTGCAGGCCTGAAGTAGTGATTGAAGAAGAACCAGGCTCCCCAAATGCTGTCCCCCCTCTTGGCGCACTTCCTCGCGCCGACGCCGACTGCGGCACTGCCGTTGCCGCTCGACTTTGGAAGGGTCAGCGCAACCTCAGACTCATGGGTGTGCGTGCCAAGGCCGACATCGAAAATGTCGAACGTGTCAAGGCTCCACAATGCAGGCGGCGGGGAGGGGTCTGCTGACAGCGGGACGTTGATGTCCGGCGGGCCTTGACGCACAGACTCGTGCCGCGGAATGATGAAGAGTTCCCTGTCAGCACTGGCGCCAACCCCGTTGACGGCGCCGCCACCGCCGGATGACTCAGCTGAGGCCGGGTGCGACCCCGCCGGGTCCATGGAGAGGAGGGTGCAGGGATGGCTGTTGCTGTTCTCCATGGAGAGGGAGGTGAGGAGGGGCTCTCCTCCCATGGAGAGCTCCCTCCTCTCCTTGTCCTTGGTCCTGCCTATCCTTGCCTGCTCTTTTTCTCCTGCCTCCTGCTGCACCTCCTCCTACCACTGCCTCTCCTCCCCTGACGCCCCAATCATGGCACGGGTTTCTCACGGGGCTGCCCCATAAAAGGCGAGTCTTTCTGCCCACCAATCCACAGATCGAGATTTGCGACGAGGGTTCCTTCCTTGCTTGGAAACAAGTTCGAGATCTTCGAGCTGATGAGGCCAATCCGGCGCCGCAGACCTGCGAATTGATTGACGGGGAACAAAAGTTACTTCTCACAATCGTCAAATGAACGAACGCCATTAACAGCATGCGAATTAGTACTGAAATCTTGAGCCCTCTTTCTGTTCTAAGCAAAGCCGATTTCTCCGTAGATACCTACAGGTTCAACAAAATTTCACCCGGAGGAACCAATCTGCTCTCGAATCATGCCGGAGTAAACCTGGCGAATCCCACTAGCACCCCAAGAATCGCCGCCGAGAATGAAAAAGATGAGCCGGAGACCTTGCTCTGATCTGTTCTAACCTTGGGGAGGGGAGAAGGGAGCTCCCGCGAGGCCGCTGTTCCCGTGGAGGAGGCGCTCTCGCGAGGAAGGTGCGCGGGTCGGCGGGGCCGCGGCCTGAGCCCTCGCCGGAGACGCGGGGGTGGGGCGGAAGAGGGGAAGAGGAGGGGAAGAGAGAGGAGAGGGAGAGGGGCGGGCCAGCCAAAGAAGAAGAGGGGTGGGGTGGTCGGTCGAGGCGTGGCGTCAGCGGGTTCGGGTCTCGTCTCGTTGCGGCCTTGCGGGTCGCAGCCCGCAACCGCGTTTTCCCCGTTTATACTTTTTTTTTGGTATGTAATATAAACTCGATTGAATTTTACTTAAATTTCTCAAAATCTGTTCGAATTTTTTGGAGCCTGTTTCTTTGGGTGATTTCTACCGTGTGAAATTTCTTGCATTGATATTTGTGTCGACATTACCTTAAAAAATGAGCGTGAACCGCTCGCCCGATACATCCGTGCGCAACTTGCAATGATGCATTCACATCGAAACGCCTCAGTTTCCCGCGGGGAATCAATGGCAAGGCTGACCGCCGCCGGTCAGCCTTGCCATTGATTCCTTCATCACGGGCGGCGCGTCACGGATGGGCCGGCGCAGCGACGCCTTCCCTTCTGTCACGCGTTCACACGGCCTGGGGCTATATAAACAGAGACTTCCCTCGCCGCTGGCCACACCAGCCGCCGTCCCTCTCTTCTGCTGCCGAGCCCAAACCAGTCGCCATCCCTTCCTTCCGCCGTCGAGCTCTCCCCTTCCCTTCCCTTCCCCTTCTTTCTCCATGTCCGAACGCTTTCCCGACGACGTCGCGGCAGCCAATGGCTTCGACCGCCGCACGCTCCAGGAGTGCGAGTCGTGGCTTCTCTTCGAGGCGAACATCCCGGCGCCGCCGGACATGCGCGTCGGGCCGACGGGGTGGAAGCTCAGCAACGGCAGCGTCCCCATCCCCCTGTGCCCGACGTCGACGCGCGCCCCGGCCTCTTTGCCGCCGAGGTCGACCGCGTGCGGGCGTCCCTGTCGGAGGAGCAACGCGCCCTCCCCCAGTACGTCGCCGACAACCACGCCGCCTGGACTGACTATTTCCAGCGGCGACAGGCGCATAGGCTGGCGTCCACGAACGGGGCGGCCTGGGCGGCGGTGGTCGGCGACACAAAGAGCAGTGACGGTCTCCGCGTCTGGTGGGGGGTCCCCGGCCGCACCCTGCACGAGGTGATCGCACACCTCGAGGGCGACAGCAACCCGCCGCTGGCGTACCCTGCCGCGGTGGCCGTGCCGACCCCTCGACGGAGCGCCGGGCCATGGGTGCCCAGGAGGTTCGCCGCCTCCTCCTCCTCTCATTCTTCCGGCTCGCCGGCGCTCTTCGGCGTCAAGGCAGAGCCCGCCGCGGAGACGCCGCTTGGCTGGCGCACACGCAACGCCGGCATCGTCATCAACGAGGGCGGCCGACGTGCCACCTCCTTGGCTCCTCCGCGTTTCGTCAAGACGAAGACAGAGCCAGGGCTCGCCGCCGTCAAGCCGGAGCCGGGGCTCCCCGTCGTGAAGACGGAGCCCGTCAAGCAGGAGGCGCTCGACGACGAAGCGGCCCTCAAATGGGCGCGCGACGACTGGGTGCAGACGGAGAGGGAGCGCCAGCGCGCCGTCTTTGCGCGGTTCGAAGCTCGTCGCCGTGGCTGGGACGAGGGAGGCATCGTCGTCCTCGACGACAGCGACGACGACGATGACGCGCGCCACCGCCTGTCCGCCATAGAGAAGGCCGCCGCTGACGACGAGGACGGCGGCGACGTGGGCGACTTCGCCGCGCTGATCGAGTTCTTCGCCCCGTAGAATATTTTATAAAAAATAATTTATGTAAAACGCCGAACATGAATATCAAGTTTGCCGAATTTTAGCCGAACTATACCGAATTCAGTTTAAAAAAAACGTGTCTGGGGTGACCCTGGGACGAGCGGCTGGGAACCCACTCGGCCGATTTTTGCACCGTCTCGCCCCGAGGGGGCGTGTAAAATCGCCGCTTGGGAGGCCAACTGCTGGAGATGCTTTAAGTACCACTTGTTTCTGAGAGGCCAAAGTGGTCGCAATTGTTTAGGGAAGATACTCTGGCTCAAGTGGTAAAACAAATGATTTATAGACTTGATAAGCAAGATTGAGCTGGATGCATGCACACGTTGTTGACCTATGTTTGAGTGTATGGTCAAGCAGATAAAATGTGCATAAACCGAAAATACATAGGAGCACTCGGGGCACACCCTCCTATATTCAAAAATAAGTTAGTAATTTAAAAAAGGTAAAAAAAACCTCGACACATTTTATGGAATCAAGCATGACCAAGTATTGCACTTGTATAAAAAAGATTAAACATGAAATGCCTTTGATTGTATCCAGGGTCAAAGATTTGCCAAAAACACTAGATACAAGTACTATTCATACTATATTGTCGTCATAATTTTTTTTCTCTAAAGTCAATGAGAATCATTCCTTGGCCAAACTTTTTATACGAGTATAATCCCGGTCATATTTGATTCCAAAAACGTTGTACACTTTTTTTTTTATCAAACATGCAAATGTAAAAGAGAAAAAAATGTTGCACCAAGGGAAAAGGGAAAAGAAAACAACTCACAAGCCAACATGTCACACTTGTGGCTGTTAGGATGATCCAACAACATGTCACACTTCCATTTCATCGCTCATTTCTATTCAGATGAAAACGACACTCCTAGACTTTTTTAGACAGAAAGGGAAATGCAAAAACACAGTACAGTAAAACACTAACATACAAAATTAACACTATTTCATTTTTGTGAAGTTGTTACAATGTACCATTTATTGCTGAAAAGGATTGAGAATAATTCAAACCGGAGATTACAAGTACGAGATACCAAGCAAGTTTGAAGCTAGTGATCAATGAATGACACAAAACACGATTCAAGATTTAAAGAGTACTCCCTCTGTAAATTAATATAAGATCGTTTAGATCACTAAAGTAGTTATCTAAATGATCTTATATTAGTTTACAGAGAGAGTATATTCTAGCATTCTACATTCCATCTGTCTCAACATGATTGGTCAAGAAGCAATTGCAGTATCATGCCGTTTTTGCCGCCGACAAGACCTTCTTCCGCTTAGCCACCATATAACGGAACAAGTATGGAAATCCTGCAAATGCAACCAGATAAAACAAGAGTTATCTTGTTAAATTCCACCCTTTTAATAAACATTAACACCATTATGTGCATAATATAGGTGGTACATCTAGGCACTACTATGCACAAAGACACATAATTCAACATCCTTATAACTTCAGCTACGTCTATGAGATTCACCCTCTAAACAATTAAATGGGGGACACTGCGATTTTGGCTTAGGGTTCAATTGCATATTCAAAATTCAAAAGACGTGGAAGGCTCTCATGGGGAGACCCATTGCACTTCACTCTCTTGGTAATTCTACATTGAAATATCCTCATGCAAAAGGGCATGTCTAACACAAGCAAAGTGATCTATTTACATGCATCATGTGGAGTGTCTAGACGTGTCAAAATAGAAGAATTTTCATTGGCAGAGGCTAACCTACACCAAAGTAACCTTTGGCACAACAACCAAGAGTGTAACACAGGTTGACAAAGTTGTTACCAGCTGTATGATAGGGGGTTTAAGAATGCTTCCCACGAAAAAATGGTCCCTTCTTTATAGTTATTCCATATTATATTCTTCTTAATGGAAATGGACCACTATTGATGGTTGCTAAAAAGAAGATAACTTCGGTTGCAAAATGAAGGATAATATCGAGAAGGAGTATTGTACCTGGTATGATTAGAGCTGTGACAAGAGCCAATTCATAGTGGTAGTTGAAGGAGAAATTCCATTTATTAGGCATCATAAAATATTTCCTTGATGTCTGAGGCAAACCTCCAAATATCAGAGCATGTAACAAACAAGACTATTCATCTGAACAACATGGAGCCCTTTCCATCTTTACTTATTAATTTAGGTTACCTTCATAAAAGGCATGGCAACTAAGATCAGGCCAACCTCGCTTACGATGCCGGTAGGATAGAACACCAGAAAGGTGCTATACCTGCAAACAAATAGGCGCACAAACTATAAAGCTAGAGGCCTTAAGAACAATTTATTGAAAATATACTAGATTTGTTTAGAAGTTTGTGTTAAACCATATTTTCCTCTTTTGTCATAACTAGTACCTACCTAAGCTATAGGAGTATGGAAGGTGCAAATTTGAAATATGACTAGTACCTACCTAAGCCATAGGAGCCAGTAAGGTGCAACCCCAAATGTCTCCTTCATACCAAAGAAAAAATATCGAATGACCTGGAGGCAACCAACATGATTTCTGTAACATTATATTTAAAGTGAAGAATATTGCAAATCCTGGTTTTGTTAAGATCAACAAGGGAGCTTATTTTACATTGAAGAACTTCAAGAATTACTATCAATTTAGATCTCATACTTAATACACCCTTATATATATAACTCATGGTGTCTTGGCCACATGTGTACCTCAGTGATAGACCAGCTTATGATCAATGAAGTTAGAAGAATATGAGACTGCGCCTGCAAGACGGTTAAATGTGCAAAGTGACCATTAAATCACTACTGTTGAGAAACTAAACTAAATTTGTGTTACTAATTATATAAAAAGATCAAAGTCTTGGTAACTATGGACGAGAGGTAGATGATACCTCATGAAAGCTCCACAAGATGCCCCATGTGATGTACAATCTTCCAGTGATTTGTGGGAGAGTTGTCGAGATCGGAGACCTCACAAACCCTATTAATAATTGGACATTCATCACAACAAACAATAAAGTTAGGTGAGAACACCATGCAAGTTCATGAGTTTGCCAGGAGTGCACTATGTATACTCAATTAAATAAACGGTAACTGCAAGAGCAAATGAAATGATACTACTCCCACCATTCTAAATTACTTAAGTTTTGAGTTTCTCTTAAGCCAAACTTCTTTAATTTTACCAGCTCTATAGAAATATATAGCCCAACATCTACAACACCAACTTATTTTATTAGCAAAAACATTTTCATACTAATCGCTATAGGGACGACATTTTCAGTATGATATTTGTACGACACTACTGATCAAGCCATCCGTAGGTCGGACCGGAGTGTAGCACAACGCTGGATTTCACATCGTACAAGGGTTGGATCAACAATTGTCGAACGCGAAGTAGTTTCGAAATATGTTTGATGTCCCATTTTGAAGGACTTTTTAGACAATATCCGTTTACCAAAGAGCTTTTTTTTTTGCGTAGACGTTTACCAAAGAGCTTGCACACACATACGGAAATCCCTTTTGGAGCTCGGGCTCCAGTGAGGCCTCTAAATTCAAATTTGAAATTTCATTGAAATTCATATTTTTATATTTCAAAAAATTCTGAATTTTTTAACAGATATACATGAAGGCATAACACACATGTGTGTAAATTTTCAGTTCAAAATACAATGAAATGAGGACCGTGCAAAAGGACAAATCTAGGGTTGTTTAACACATGATACTATTCATCCTCCTAGGCCATGGATTTGTCTTTTTTGTACAGGTCGCAACTCAAGGTATTTCATCATAAATTTTGGATGCCGATAACGCCCACACGTGTGAGTGTTAAGGGGTCTGTCCACACATTTTGTATGGTGTTTAAGAGGATCAGCCCACACACCTACGTGTGGGCAAAATAAGTAATGCCCACATGTCTCTGTTTTTTTTCCTTGTCGTCTCTCTCATATGCCTACGTGTGGGCAAAATAGATAACGCCCACACGCCCGTACGTCAGGCCTCCTACCTCATGGTTCCGCACACATCGCGTGACAGTCACCATGCGCCTCGCAGTTGCCATGGTCCGGACCCTCTTCCATATTTGTTTAACTGCAGTTGTCATGTCACTGAACTACAGTTGCCATGTCGGACAACTATAGTTGCCATCTCAGGTCGAGTGCCAGATGTCATTTTTGGACAACTGCAGTTGTTGCCATGTATAGTCTGGTTTACTATAATTGCCATGATTTGAGAACTTTAGGGGTTGCCACCTACTAACACTAGGCAGTTGCCATGTATGGTCCGGTTTACTGTAGTTGCCATGATTTGAAAACTTTAGGAGTTGCCACCTACTAACACTAGGCAGTTGCCGTGTAGCGCTACAAAAAGACATGGCAAAATAATATGTTCGGGTAAAGAGAGAGTTGCCATATGCTTACAAGCACACTAGGGCAGTTGCCATGTACCCTGCAAAACACATGGCAACTGACATGTTCGTGTAAAAGAGAGAGTTGCCATCTGCTTACAAGCACACTAGGGCAGTTGCCATGTACCCTGCAAAATACATGGCAACTGGCAACTTTAAGTGTGGGAGAGGAGACGGACGTGTGGGTGAACTGATAAATGCCCACACACCAACCCCTGTGCGTGAATGAAAACTAACGTGTGGGCGAACTGCTAAATGCCCACACACCAGTCCCTCTGTGTGGTGAAAATGGACGTGTGGACAACCGGATGAATGCACACACACCAGCCCAATCCTACGTGGCACCACAAACATGCCAAGATTCGTGCAACCACAAACAAACGTGGATCCACATGTGTGGGCGAGATGCAAACGCCCACACGTGTGGGCGTTAGTGTTTCCGTAAATTTTTATACACATGTGAGTTACATCCTTACACGCGTGGGCGAGATGCAAACGCCCACACGTGTGGGCGTTAGTATTTCCGTAAATTTTTATACACATGTGAGTTACATCTTTACATACACACATTTTTTTCAAAAAATTTTGAACCATAAAAGTTTGAATTTGAATTTATCAAAAATAAAGGCCTCCATGATGCTCGGCCACCAAAAAACGCCTTTCTCCACACACACATACTCCTACATACTTACATTGCACTTGTCCAGATTGACCGATGTTGAGGATATATAACGTGAAAGGCTAGAGAAAGAAGAAACTAGTTACCTAGAATCGAATGCAGAATCTGGGCCACCAGCAACAGAGCGTACCATCGGAATCAAGACGTTCAGTTAGTAACTTGATAATTAAGAAATTATTAAGAAATGAGCTGCTGAGACGAGAGGGACCTCCATGAAGGCTGCGGTCTGCGCGAACTGCAGCGGCCGCTCGACGGCGGCGTAGACGGCCTCGTGGCCGCTCTCCAGCAGCGCCGAGGCCGCGTAGCACATCACCTGCGCCCTGCAAACCAGAGAGATCTTCACGGTCAACGGAGCAAGAAACCAGAGATAGCCACTCCATCATGCACCCATGGCCGTTGCGCTACTTAATTACCATCCGAAGAAGACGACCCAGTTGTAGGCGGAGAGGTAGAGCCGCCGGAGCGCCGTCCCGGACGCGGCGGTCGCCATTAACTGCGGAGAGAGCTGCTGCGGTCGAACTGCTAGGGGGGATTGGTGTCGTTATAATTGCACTGCTTCTCAACTTTGGTTTGGCGTTGATTTAATCGATCGGGCGGACGGAGGCGGTTGGGGAGTAACACGGTTGAGGAACGGTCAGATTCCCATTGCAACTTGCAACGACCGACTTCCCGCCAACTCCATGCATGCATGCATCCATGTGATCCACGTGGTTCGTCGCACCCTGCATGCATGCATATGTATTCTCAAGCTAATACTACTTCCTCTATTTCTAAATATTTGTCTTTCTAAATATTTCAACGAGTAACTACATACGGAGCAAAATGAGTGAATCTACATTCTAAAATATATCTATATACATCCGTACGTGGTGTTTTATTTGAAATCTTTAGAAAGACAAATATTTAGAAACGGAGAAAGTATATCGAAAATCAAATAAAACGTGCATGCAAACATATAGCTGAAACATCACGCATGCATGTGTGGTAAGTGTTAACCGATGTGATTCAACGCGGATCATGCTTTTGCTGAGTCTGCTGTGTGGGCCTTTCTGCCGTGCCATGCTTTTGCAGGCCTTGTTCTTTGCTGCTTTAGACGACTGCATGCTTGCGCACTATCCGTGTATGGCGTGTGGGCCTGTTGGTGTGTTGTGCGGCGGTCGCAACGGGTATGAGCAACAATGAGATGACTGATCGACTGTTGCATGTCGGGGTTTATAAAAAAAGACCGCTTCAGGTCGGTTTGGATGGTGGGAATGTATCCTTAGGAGGTGCGATCACTGCCATGTGGGTCCCTTTTGTGTGGGGAGATGGTGATGCTTGCGTTTAATTTGTGAACTTTTGTAACATTTATGATGTTTTTAATACAAATTCATGAACTGTTTCTAATGTATATTTTGAAATCCATGATATTTTTTAAACTCACGAACACCTTTTCAAACTAGCAACCATTTTTTAATTTGTGATTTTTTTTTAAATTACAAAGTTTTAAAATTTGTGAATATTTTTTTAAATCCAGACACATCTTGTGAAGTCTAGAACAATTTTCCAATTCATGGAATTTTTCTCAAATTTATTATCAATTTTAATTCATGGGCCATTTTTAAATTCACAAATATCTTTAAAATTCTATGTAGTGGGATAAAAGAAAAGAACAAACCACGAATCATGTGTAGCAGCGTAGCGATTGGAGGTGTGCGCCAATGGGTCGTCCCATCCCACACGCTAGCAATTGAGGTGTGTAGGAGACCGCTCGGTATGTACCGCACAATATTGGTTCTATAGGAATATGAGGGTGGCATGGGATCTGGCGCAAGAGGTGCAGATCAGGCCGCTCGAGGATAATCTCTATACATTGCAATTCTCTTGCCTGGGTGATTGGGAAAGAGTGATGGAAGAAGGACCGTGGAGTTTCAGGGGGAAGGCGGTGGTCCTCGCGCCGTACGATGGGTTCACGAAGCCTTCATTGATTGAACTGAACAAAATTGAAATATGGATCCAGACCCATGACCTACCAGACGGATACTTCCCCAAAGTAAAGGCTCTTTCATCGACAGTGGGCGAATTCATATTTGCCGAACCCAATTCGCACGACTTCAAAGGTAACTTCGTTCGTGTCCGGGTGAGGATTGATGTCACGAAACCCCTCAAAAACGTTGTTTCACTTGTGGTCAGAAAGAAGGACTCTCTAGAACGAGTCATCTTCAGGGTAAAGTACGAGGGATTGCCTGATTGGTGTGCTGTTTGTGGCAACTTGGGGCATTTGTTTAAGGAGTGTGGTGACGGGATTCACCCTGCGAAGGCGTTGGTTTTCAAGGACCTCAGGGCGAGCTGGTTCAGGGGACCGGGCAGCGGTCCGGGAGAAGGCAGTGGATCAAGGGGAGGCCATGGCAGAGGCCGCGCTGGTAGGGTGGAGGTCGCTCGACCATGCAAAATAACCCCCTGTACAGCCAGGACCATGAAAGCTCAGAGTATGATTCAGAGAAAGATGTTGCTATGGAGGAGGCAGATAGAAACAGGAAAAGGGTAGCTTCTAGAGCTGCTCTTATGAATGATCAACATCCCCCAAGCCAAGTGGCACTGCCTAAAACGATACTCTCACTTCCTGCACCAACTGTTCCAGCAAGTCCCTTGTCCAAGCAGGAACCGAAGAGGACCAAGCCTAGTACATCTACCAGTGAAGTTGCTGCGAGTAAGGCTCCAGCCCTCAACAAAACCATCGATGCATGAATGGCGGACCTCCCAGTGGGGTCGCGCCCAGCGCAATGAGTCTGCTAAGTTGGAACTGCCGCGGAATTGGCAAAGCCGCGACAGTCTGTGAGCTTCGCGACTTAGCGAGGCAATTTGCCCCCTCTATCCTTTGCATTGTAGAAACACAAATAGAGGGATCGAGAGTTGAAAATTTAGCAGATACCTTAGGTTACAATAAAAGCTTTGCTGTTAGTAGTTCTGGATGAAGTGGTGGACTCGATTTTTTTGGAATGATGAAATAAAAGTTGAAATTACTGGTTACTCGAAGTACCGTATTGATACTCTTGTTGATGGTTTGGCGGATTTGCAGGTCAGGCTGACCTTTGTGTACGGTGAAGCCCAAGTACCGGAACGATATCATACATGGAATACCCTATGGGGGATAGCCGAAACATAGAACAGGCCATGGGCGGTAATAGGTGACTTTAATGAAGTTTTACATATCTGTGAACATGACGGAGTTGGTACCCGGAGTCAAGCTCAAGTTGAAGCGTTCAGAGAGGTGGTTGACTTATGCGGCCTGACGGCCATTGGATACACTGGAACGGACTGGACGTTCGAAAAGAAGGTCGCGGGAGGCATGTATACAAGGGTGAGGCTCGATAGGTGTCTTGTAAACCCTGAGTGGCTCTTGGCATTACCATCTACGACCCTAACCCATAAAAACACAACCGGTTTAGATCACATTCCAATTCTTCTCACGTTACGTGAGTTGCATGCATGCAATGCGGGTCCCAGATCCTTTAAATATGAAACGATGTGGGAGAGGGAGTGAGTGAGTCCTGGATTAGGGGGTCTCCGGACAGTCGGACTATATCCTTTGGCCGGACTGTTGGACTATGAAGATACAAGATTGAAGACTTTGTCCCGTGTCCGGATGGGACTCTCCTTGGCGTGGAAGGCAAGCTTGGCAATACGGATATGTAGATCTCCTCCCTTGTAACCGACTTTGTGTAACCCTAGCCCCCTCCGGTGTCTATATAAACTGGAGGGTTTAGTCCATAGGACAACATACAATTATACCATAGGCTACCTTCTAGGGTTTAGCCTGTACGATCTCATGGTAGATCAACTATTGTAATACTCATATGATCAATATCAATCAAGCAGGACGTAGGGTATTACCTCCATCAAGAGGGCCCGAACCTGGGTAAACATCGTGTCCCCTGCCTCCTGTTACCATCCGCCTTAGATGCACAGTTCGGGCCCCCCTACCCGAGATCTGCCGGTTTTGACACCGACATTGGTGCTTTCATTGAGAGTTCCACTGTGTCGTCATCATAGGGAAGGATGGCTCGTCTCGTTGTCAAGGGCAACATCACCTCTGGGGGAGCCTTGGCTGTAGGCCAAACTCTCCGACTAGGCGGCTTCGTCATGACCACCCGATCGGCCGCTGCGCCAACGATGACTTCTCGGGTCATCGAAAATAGCCTCCACATCGGCTCGAAATTCACAGAGCAGATGGATCCAATGGAGCTCTCCTCTTTGAACGAGCTCTTGGATCACATCGCCGCTCTGGGAGTCGCTACGGACTACGATCGGATTGGGCTTAAACCCGACCAAAGGGAAATTAACTCTCCGCCGGTCACTCATCAGATAGCGGTGGTGGAGGAGCAATGCGGCGATTCTCCCTCTATCCTGAGGACGAACTATGTCCGGATTCCCGAGCTCTCCGAGCCGGATACCCGCTCACGGGAGGACATCGCCCTAACCCTGAACCTAGAATCAGGGTGCATACCGAACCTGCGGGGCAACATCCCGGAGCCCGAACTTCCAAGATCGGAAACTCCCCCGCACCGGGGTCTCAGATTGTGTCAAGGTCCGGACTTAAATCCACCCACCCACCCAGATACAAATGATATTTCCCACATTAGGCAAGAGCCCCAAGAGACAGTACATCACTATTGAGCCAGATTCCTCCTTGTAATGAACAAGGTCAAGGATTGTCGCGAGGAAGACGCAATTTCGTTCTTTTGCAACAATTGCACGGACAAGGGAATCCTCAACGCCATAAGTCACCATGACATAGCACACTTCGCTGACTTGGCGGCCATAGTACGGAAGTATTGTGCGATGGAAAGCGCCTGGAAAACCCAAACAAAATTTTGGGATAATCCGGCTCTGACAAAACCCAGTCCGAACTAAAAGGGTGCACTCTCATAAGTCACCCGACTCAATTACAAAGAAGCAAAAGCCCACTACAGGGCGTGGAACCTTATTGGAGGGATGGCTTAAAGGCCCCTGCAAAATTCATAGTACATCGGATACCATACCAACACACAACCTTAGAGCATGTTGGGTACTCCGACAGGTGGCCAAGAGCGGTGAGGATCTCCTCATCCAAAACACCTCAGAGCACCTTCCCGTGGATAACAATACAATATTGACAGTCTTCGAGACCTTCGCCTCATATAATAGGCGTAAGCGAGCACTCCGCAGCCTTGCCGAAGTCTGCCATGTGGCAGCAACAAATCCATGGAGCAACACGGCAATCACCTTCAATGCCAGTGACGAACCTAAATTCCGAACAGCCCGAGCACCAGCCGCCTTGGTCCTCAGTCCAATTGTGGACGGCTTTCGGCTCACTAAAGTGCTCATGGACGACGGCAGTGGATTAAACCTCATTTATGAGGAGACTATTCAAAAAATGGAAATAGACAGAAACCGTATTGAGCAAAGCAGCACGACCTTCCGAGGAATCATCCCTAGTCGGGAGGCACGTTGCACTGGGAAAATCACACT